TTGCGGTGCCTGATGGCTTGAAAGTGGGCCTAGGAGACCCAGGCGGGGGAGGTCGGGGCCTCAGACGAGGGGTATTTAACACTGGGTTAGGTCCTACCAGCGACCTAACCACTGCCTCGACCTGGAGGAAGATCTGGAACAGGACCCCCCTCCATGGCGTCTGGCAGGGCATCAGGCCCCATGTCAGCCCATCTGTCCACCATTTATCATTTTTTCCCTTTGAGGTGAAGGTGATTTTAACCTGGTTGGCCAGTGGAGATACTGTCCATTGGTTATATGGAGTAGTAAACCTCATATCAATCAGGTCAGGGGAAACCTCGCATCTCCACTGCCCATCATTAACTTCCACACAATTCCATTCAGCGCAGTAGAGTCTATCAGCACCCCCACAATTGCACCTCCACCCACCTGTCTGGAAACCTGGGCAAGCAAAGAACCCATTTGCCCTCAAAGCTTGGTGGTTGACTGTGGATGATGAGTCAACCAAAGCCTGTTTTTTTCATATGATATTGTTCCTGGTGGTTTTTCTGGGGGAGGTAGTAAAATTGCCCCAGTACAAGTTCTAAGTCAACATACAGATCTGGCCACCATGTCCACAACGGGGCCGTATGGGAGGTGCGGTTCCATTCCTCATAGGTGTCGCCGCTTCGCAGGATCCATGTCTGGAGTACTGGTTGGTGGGGGTTGATGTTCCGAGCTCCCGCTGACAACACTACTGTTCTCTGGAGAGCCCATAACAGTGAGCTTATCAGCAGGAATCATTTCATGTCCAGCTCAGCTGTACCTTCAAGGGATTAGCAGGATTTGGACGCACCTCCCACTTCTTCACACAGGATTCTGGGTCCTTGAGAGGCAGGGCCTTCCGAATGTGGGTGTGGTGGACCCAGGGAGCAATACCGTCAACCTTTAGGGCAGTGGGGGTGGTAGACAATACAACATAAGGTCCCTTACATCTGGGTTCAAGAGTTTTTACTTTGTGTCTTTTTACCCGGACCATATCCCCTGGGACCATGCCATGCCCCACAATTGGGGTTCTTTCCCCTTCATAGTATGCTTTGATTAGGGGCCAAATTTCCTGCTGTATTTTGGCAAGGGATTGCAACACATTTAAATAGTTGGGAGCTGACTTCTCTTCCCCTGGGGGCTGCGCTTGCTGGGTTAGTGGTGGAGGGGCCCCATACATTATTTCAAAGGGAGTTAGACCATGCACATAAGGGGAGTTTGGAACCCAGAATATGGCCAAGGGGAGGAGGGCCACCCAGTCACCATCAGTCTCAATTACTAATTTAGAAAGGGTCTCCTTTAATGTCCAATTCATTCTTTCTACCTGCCCAGAGCTTTGTGGGTTATAGGCACAATGTAACTTCCAATCCATCCCCAAAGCCTGGGCTAGTCCCTGTAGGACTTTACTAACGAAAGCCGGGCCGTTATCGGAACCTATAGCCTCAGGGATCCCATATCTGGGGACTATCTCCTCTATTAATTTCTTTGCCACCATCTGGCTAGTTTCATGTTTAGTTGGAAAAGCCTCCACCCATCCTGAAAAAGTATCCACCATGACTAGGAAATACTTGTACCCATATTTTCCTGGCTTCACCTCCGTGAAGTCTATCTCCCAACTTCTTCCTGGGGCCCTCCCCCTCTCCCGCATACCTGTCGGGTGGAACCCCTTTGGGGCTGGTCTTAGCTTTGCACAGCTCTCGCATCCCCCTGTGATCTGACGTGTGGCCTCATTCTGGTGTGGAAATACCAACTGTGCATTCTGAAAAACACTGAGTAACTTCTTCCAACCTGGATGGGTGGATCTGTGTAGGTTGGTGAGCATGTATTTCCCTAGTACTTCCAGTAAGATCAGTCTACCTTCCCAGTCCCTACTCCAATCTCCCTCCCCAGGCTTTTCTCCCGGAGCTTGTTTTCTTATCCACTCAAGGTCCCGTGGGGAATAGTCAGGTCTGGGGGGTAGGGTGGGTAGTTCACCCTCACTGCTCTGCCTCGCCTCCCCAAAAGTACCAAGAGCAAAACTGTGAGAACTATAGCCTCTCACGGGAGGAGTCTGGACTACCTTTATTAAAGTAGAAGGGAGGAGATGTTGGAGGCCAAGCCTTAAGTGTACCCCTGCCCCAGTTTGAAACAACCAGGTGGCCTTGTAAAAACATGTTTTTCTTGCCCTGATTTACTACATTTTACTTCCTTATCTTGTGAAACCACCAGGGCTCATGACTGTAGTGGAAATTCCTCAGCAGGGCCTTGCCACCTTCCACTCTCCCTGCCTTCTCTCTGCCCTTTACCTTCCCCCACCCTCCACTTTACTATATTAACACTGTGTGATTGCTCAATAAATGAGACTTGATCAGAATACTGTCGTCTTGTCTCTATTTCTTCGTGTCCCCTGTCTATTCATTCCTCCAGGTTCAGTCTCGGTGCCCCACGCTGTTGCTCCGCAGGTCAGGGCACAGGATAGTCTGTTTTATGGCTTGTGTCAGCCATCTGGCCCCTTCCGCTATCTTGTACCCCAAGTAAACCACTGACCTCTGGCAGATGTGTGCCTTTTTGGCACTGGCCCGACATCCCAGGCTGCCCAGTTTGGCCAACAGGTTCCTCGTAGCTTCCATGCACTCCTCATGAGTTGCTGTAGCCAGCAACAAGTCATCCACATACTGCAACGGAGTCACATGGGGGTGCCTTTTGCGGAAGGGCTCCAGGTCTTGGCTTACTGTCTCATTGAACAAGGTGGGAGAGTTCTTAAAGCCTTGTGGCAGTCTGGTCCAGGTGAGCTGCCCTGTCTTTCCCTCTCCTGGCTCTTCCCACTCAAAGGCAAACAAGGGCTGACTGACTTCAGTGAGAGGGACACTGAAGAAAGCATCCTTCAAGTCTAGGGTGGTATACCATACATGGGAGATGGTGGCAGGTGGCTAAGTAGGGTGTATGGATTGGGCACCGTGGGGTGAATGTCCTCTACTCTTTCATTTACCCTTCGCAAATCTTGCACCGGTCTGTAATCTCCACTGCCAGGCTTTCTCACAGGAAGCAGGGGTGTATTCCATGCTGACTGGCAGGGTTTAAGGATTTTTACTTCTAGCAGTCTATGGATGTGAGGCACTATTCCCTTCCTAGCCTCTTCTGGCATCGGGTACTGCCGGACCTGAATGGGCAGAGCCGTGGCTTTGAGTTG